GTAACAAGCTCCCGTTCAAGGACATATAAACTGCCTCGCGAAATGGAGTTAAGTTATGAAAAAGGAAAGTAATGGGGGGGGGAGCTAAATTGGAATCAGCTTCCCTTTCAGAAGCCTCTTTGCCTAGACACCATACCTCCCCTTCAGAAATAGATGGCCGGGGCGAACCGTTTTAGGATCCCTGCGCGAGGCTGAACCAGAGGAAACCCAAAGCCGCAACTACAGGAAAGCTCTCGCAATATTTAAGACTCACGTCGGGTGCTGAGTTTGTCATTATAACCACAGCCATCAGCCAGACCCCAAAGATTAAAAAATGCACAGCGTATGCAGAATTTCTACTTAGACAGGTATCTTCTTCAGCCCTTGCTCAGTTCCGAGATTATTCCCTTCAAACACGAACTGAGAACCGAAAGCTTTTACGGGATGATATAATCTGCTCTCCTGGTACGGAAGAGGCGAATCGCTGCTGAAGAGGACATCTACTTGCCCACAAAATACCCTGTTTATTTATTTTAAAAATGTCACAGCCTTGCTAAGCAGAGAGGGGCATAAGACTGTCGTTTGCGCTGGGCAGACTTCAAAGGTATTCACATTTTTTTGGCTTTGAACTGGTGGCGTTTCTAAAAAAGGCTTTTTAAGAATACTCCGGATTAGACAGCAGCAAGGACTGAAGGGCAGTTATATTTTAAGACTTGAATTTTAACGCAATATGGCACAGCTCCAAACATGGCTTTCTTCCAAGCCACCGTCCTCAGGACATCCCCGCCCAATATTCCTGCTGCTCTCCGTCACAAGAGGAAAATACTGTACAGGGAAAGTTTTTATAAGGTCTCTTTTCCAGTTTTATTCTGACAAAACTGGGGTGGGATGGGGGGAAACAAAGCAAATCTTCCCCAAACTTTCTTTCGCAATACTTTTCAATCATTTTGAGGTGGCGTTTCATGGGGTGATGGGGGAGAGGGGAACAGGCACGAACTCTTTCAAATAAGAAAAAGGTTCTTGGGGCATGAAGGTATTAGATTCCAGGTGACGCAGGAAGAGAATTCATTACAGAATCTGCAGCTCAAGCAGTCCGAACTACGCCGGCCGCCTGCTCGCCTTCTTTTGATCCGGCACGAAGCTCGCGCTGGGTCTCCACTCAGCTGTCACCACCTTCTATGACTTAATGGCCCGACAATAGTCCCCAAAGACCCAGGGGGCAACTGAACCATAGGGAGAGCTTCCACCCTCCTCCGTCTCTTTCAGCGAATTAGGTAACGAACCAGATTAATGAAGCCGGCACGCAGAAGGGCAAAATTTCCCTTGGCCTCCTACACATCTCTCCAAATAAGAGCTCACTGATCCATCGGGAGCCGTTTGCTCAGGCTATTACACGCGCGCAGCTCTTAGGTCTTGCCAGCCCTCCTGAGGTTCGAGATCAGATTTTGTTTCCATTTGGGCTTTAAAGGGTTTAATTCTAGCTGTAGGAGAGGCCCTGTGTGTCCGGTCAAAGCTGACAAAATGCACAAAGGGGAGTTAGCACCTCTGTGGGCGTCCCTGTTTGTGATTTATTCCCAAGAAACGCCCACATGGAGAAATGCCAAAATGGGCAGATGTACTCAACGTGCAAAGCACTCTAGTGGCTCACTCAGCGGCCTAGACTCCGGGCACTAGCTGCTGGGCCTGGCCCTGCTAGAGGGAACCGCAGGCCGTTCCAAAAAGGTGTTGGAACAAAGCAACCCTCACCCTGGGTTGGAAAGTTAGCCGATACCAGAAAGTCAGCTGGGTGCTAACGTGGTGTATTAAATCTGGATGTACCACAATGCCCAAACTGGTTGGCTGGGCTAACTATTCAACGCTGTAGTCCAAAATTTAAAGAAGGTACCACAAGTGACTCCCACTGAGGAAAATCAGAGCATCTGCAAGGCTTTGCCTCTCATGAAGATGACGAGAGTTGCGGGTCTTCGCAATGAGTTGCGGATTCCGGAAGCTCTCCTGGCGGGCATCAAAACTGAACGTCGAAGGCAGGATGGGGTGTGAATAGGCCACTCGTACCCAAGGTAGAGAGGCAGAGGGCAACTCCCGCCACCAGTCCATGTGCGTCCTTTCCCAATGGGAGTTTACTAGAAGGAAGCCCACCCAGAAGAGTGACTCATGCAGTTCGACAGCAAGGAGTGTACACAGGAGCCTTTGATCATTGATTCATTAATGGCAGCACCAGAGCCAGCCCCAAGACACATGCTGGAGTTCTCCGTACAAAAACAAGCTTCCTTGTTACAGGATGCCTAGGAATCCACACCGAAAAGTTGCAGCAGATCCTTAGCTCTTAGGAAGGATGGTTCTGTTGAGGTCTCCAATAAGCTTTGGGCTTGTGTGTAGGCTAAGTCAGGAGGGGGAAGTTTATATAGGATATGTAACACCCTAACACTCTGTATATACTGGACTGACACCCCCCATTTTAATTAAAGCAACCCCCTGCCAATCCCCATACACTACACAGGGATTTCTCCCTGCCCCACCCCCAGGAGGTAAAAGTTATTGTCAAAGTTCTGATTCCACTTTCACATTGATGCTCATTTCATCAAAGTCCACTCTTAAAGGGAATGACGACGCCTTGTGAACAATTAGCACAAAGGGCAGCTAAAACAAAGGGATGGGGGGGTGGGGCACGCATCAAACAGGATTATTGTTGTTGGGTTTTTTTCTTCTTCTTCTTTTTTACTTTGATCATTAGCTTGGTAATTCATTAGAAGCTTTAATCAGGTCACCATCTCTATTCAGTGCCGTCTAGTCTCTCCCCCACCAAACCTACCACCAACTCTGCTTCTCCCCGTCAGAGATTTATTACAATTAAACAGATTAGATGGAGCTCAGATACTTAAAAAAAGAACAAAACAAAAATAAAACACACTGGCCCGTCTACGAAGCTGGTGGCAGGGGAGCGTGGCGCAAACATCGGAGATGTTGGTGTCTCGATTGCTCTAAATACCTTTTGCAAATGAAATCTAAGTCCTTCTGCATTGAAAGAGAAGCACAGAGAATGCAGAAAAGAAATGTCAGGAATAACTGGTCATTCTGGCGAGATGTACAAATAGTCCTAATAGGGCATGATATGCCAGGGAACCCTGTTTCAGGTGGGGGGGGCGAGAAAGGGAGGTGTCAACGGATCTCTCGGCAACTATAGATTTTGCATCAGGTTACCGTGGGCAATCAGTACAGCTTTTAGGTTCAGCTTTCTCCTGCTTCATTGCTTCGATGATAGAGTAGAAATCCCAAAGCGTTTATGATTAATTACTCCCTGTAGGTCCACATATTTCAAAGAAAAAAAAGAAAAAGAAAGAGAGAGAACCCTGTATGGCAAGAAAGCGGATCTGAAAGTGAGGAGTTTCAAAGGCCTAATTTTTGTAATGCAGATGAGGCCGGAGGCAGAGGCGAGTGTACTTCATACATGTTGTTTAGTACAAAAGCCAGCTACAAACCAACCTGTGGACACAAAAAAATCTACCTACCAATTACTATTATTTAATCTATCGCATATTTATCTTGCCTTTGTTCATCTGGCAACTGAAACAGCTTCCCCTAACTAGTCCCTGTGAGATATGTTAGGATTACAACACCCAGGATCCACAGCCAGCATGATCTTTGGCATTCTGGACACTGCAGATCCCACAAGATGGAGAATCCCAGGTTCAGAAAACTGCCCTGTTGTAGAGCCCACCCAGGCTGTTGCTCCACAAGCACAACCTGTGAGAAAAGACAATGCAAAGTTGGGCTACGTTAAGAGAAGTGGGGCGCCTCCACAATGCAAGGTTTCAATTTGGGCTGGTCGAGCTGCAGTTCCAGATGCCACGTTCTAACAAGAACGTAAATGAAACTGGCACATTTCCAGAGCAGAGTGACCAGGTCAGTGAGGGGTCTAGAAATCCCATTTTTCGGAAGAACGTTTGAAAGAACTGGGTACCCACAGCCTGAAGAAAGGATTAGGGGGAGATGTTGTGATCTTCAAATATCTCAAGAATGAGTTCAACTTTGGGTGGTACTTTCTCAGATATTGTCTGGGGGTTCACATGACCTCAGTGCTTCCGTACCAATATATGTCACTGAACACAAAGATATAGGTGCAGGTAAGTGTGAATATACATCCTTTCACACAGGGCTCGGCCTGGCACTGGAATTTTCTTTCAAACCTGTTCAAACGTTCCATATACAGGGGATTTTAAAAAACCAGAGAAATATTCAATTGTGCCAATCCGTAACTGCTTTTTGCAATTGTACAGCTAAGATACAGGATTTATGACCTCAGTGAAGATCTAGTCTTTAAACCCTAACAAAACTCTTGTCTGTCTGGGTTCTTGAGCTGACAGTTTGAAAACTTTAGATGGCCACTTTAAGTTTTAGATTGTCACTTTTTTTAAAAAGGCAATTCATTTAACATACGTGCAACAGAAATGTTGCAGGGCCATGAACTGAGCAACTTCCACTGGCTGGAAATGATGCTGAGTTTATCAAGATGTAGATCTTCTTTGCTTCTAAAAGAGCTCGGCAGTCAATCGCCTGCCCTTTCTGACTGTGAAAGGCAGAGTGACCCCAAATTTAACCCCTGCTGGCTGCTCGTCTTCCTTGCAGCCTGTCTTTTACCAGCTGGTCTTACTCTCTTCTGAAGCTCCTGACCATTTCATCTGGTCAGCCTACAGTAAATACCATGAATGACACAGAGCCAACCAAGAGAAGCCCTTCGGTCTTCTGAGAAGCTGGCAGTTCAGAAGTTTGCAATACAAGCAATTTTATTGAGTCTCGTTTCACTGGCTTTCCCCGTTCTCCTAGGATCTGTAAATGTTAAAAAGGTTTTAGCCTTAAAATCTTTGAGTTCAAGAGGACAGCGGGGGGGGGGGGGCAATGTGACAACTCATGCAAGAAAAGGCTGAAGAAACTGGAATTTCGGAGGGAGGGAGGGAGGAAGGAAGGAGGGAAGGAAGGAGCACAGATTGAGAATTACATTTTCAGATTGTATATTATAGTACCTTTCTTCTTCAGAAATGTTCTTCTATTTGCAAGCGGGCTTTGGCGAACTCGGGAGTTTTGTAAAAACTTCACTGCTGTGGCAATCTGCAGAGCAGGCAAACGATTGGGAAGAAGAAAAAGAGAATTTAAAATAGGATTCATCAGAATTCAGATTCCAACCCAGCCAAACTATCACATTTTATTACAAATGCCTGGTTACCAGTAAATTAAGTACATTGGTAATTTAACTTAGATGCAGATCTATATCAGAGAGTTCAAAAAGGTTATTTTTATACTGTATAGCAGAGATGTTCATTTCAGGATAAATAAAAAGGTGCAGCCCTTTTGAAGCTTGGGAAACATGAATATAAACAATCAAGGAAAGAGGAAATGAAGAAGAAATGAGAAGCAACAATACTTATTGTACACGGTACTTTACAAAGAATAAGAGGGCAATTCTTGGCCATTAAAGGAATAACAATCTAGAAATGGATGCTTAACAATTCTAAAATGTTAAGATGTGTTTGGTTAAAATGTATTTCTTAAAACAACAGAAAGGAAGGTAAGGTAACCAAAGGCAGGAGCAAAAAGGAAAAAATATATTTTATCTTTATTTCAACCTGTAAGATTTCTATCATCCACATACTATGATCTCATATTTTACAGGAGCTTATGATCTGTTTTTCCCTTCTGCGGAAATATAAACCTGGGGAAGAGCTGCAGAACAAAGAATCCAATCAGGTTTCAAGAGCAAGCTGGGCCAAACCCTTTTCTGATTGCTTAGAACAGCTCTCCTCAACCTGGTTTCCTTCAGGCTTACTGAATTAAACTCCTATTATCCCAAACCACTTGGGATTAAAACGGCCTAAGGTCACTTTGTTAATTAGTACGTGTTTGCTTTTTTTTTAGCCAAAAAGCAGCATGGAAAGTACGTTTTAGCAAATGGCAGCTTTCAATAGCAGGGCACCCGTTAAGATTACGGTATCATCTCCTTCCAGAAGCCAACAGCTCCTCATTGAGTGAGACCACGGTTGCTTCCGTTCACCAACCCTGGTGGCAGATTTGCCTTGACTTTTGCTTCTGGACCTTGAGATTCTGTCCTACGCTGCCACAACCTTCTAACAAAGATGAACGGGTTTGGAAGAGTTTGAGTTAGAGGAGAAAACCCAACCCAAGTGGATTGCCGTAACTCGAGGGAAAGTTGGCCTTTACCTGGTTTTCAAATATGCATCTTAGGTCAAAGAGCAAAGTTTTGATGGCTTTTAATGGCTCTTTTGATGTACTCCTTGGTGCATTCCATCAATGTTGTGTATGCTTATATAGCCCCCCCCCCCCACTTAAATGGCATCTCTTATTTCTTTAAATACATTAATCAGTCTTATGTAGGCAAAACTGATCCATTGGACAATGCAATAAACATGAATTATCATCTATCCAACATGCATAATGGCTTAAAAAAACATAATAGCAGGTGTAGTTTAAATGATTAGCTATTACACCTGCGGTGCGTCTGATTCAATTGGGGAAAATCATCTTTAATAGGTTAAAAGGTTTAGATCACCCGGCTTCCCCCTTAAAGTGGCTGTAGAGAGGGTATGATGGAGTACGCTGTCATTACTAATTCATTTAAGGAAAGCATGGGGGGAATATAGCAAAGAACAGCATTATATGAGCCAATCTAATTTAGACATCAGGTAAAGCAGAAAAACACCTTTTTAAAAAGCATGATAAATGAATTTGGGAGGGAGATGAAATTCATATTTTTTTATTTTAACGGGAAATTTGACCAAGTCCCAGCATACTTGGGATTGAAGAGAAAAGAAGATAGGAGGCGGCGGAGGACAGAAATTCTGCTCTTTAAAGTTTAGCATTCAATCATTTCAAATCATAAAATAATATGAATCTAACACCCCACCTCTCTGCGACACGTAAAGCGCTGCTTTGATCTTGTTTATGCCCCCTCGTTGATCTGCCTCGCTGGAAATGCCAGCGATAGGGAAATTGCACATTTAAGCGGCACGGGTATTGCCGCACAAAAGGCAGAAGGATAAACAGTACAAATTAATAACCTGCAGGAAAAAAAGTGCTGAACCAGAGAGATGTCCGAATAAGCAGATACGGAGATGTGCCAGCGTATCAAAAGCGACTTTGCTTCCATATTAATCACCGGCTCCTTCTGGAACTTTTTGATGGGCCTTGTTCTCTGCGACTTAGGGGGAAAGGCTGACACCAAAATGCTTGCTAAGACCTGGCAGGAGGCAAACTTTCAAAATCTCCCAGATTGTACAGCTTCATTAACTTAAATTTAACACTCCGTGGCTCGAGAGCAGCATTTATGGACTAGCAACCATTAGGGATCATCTAATAATGCCAGGCAGAGATTCCCAACTTTTATGGGCCACTGGGGGGTGGGATGAGAAGGTCATTGCCCAGTTGGGAACAACCTTAACCCTACTTAGTTAAACCCTGTCTTTGGTATTTTAAGAGTGGAAATCAGTGGACCAAACTTCTGTCTCCTATGCTACAATTGTATTCCCTGCCTCCTTTAGGGGAACTTAGTTCTTGGAGTAGTGAAAACACCAGAGATAAAACTTTTCGAAGGAGATGCCTGCAGAGATGCTACTGTGCTACAATCTTCAAAGTTTTCATCTTGGTCCCACCATTATAAGAAACATAGAAGCCTATCCCAGTATCTGGTCAACATCACTAACGCTTTTACACCTCTCTGCATTCAGCCTGTGCCCACGGCATGCCTTGATGGGACATTTTGCAAATGTCCAACGGAACAGTGCTTTTGCCCTTGTGGCTTGGGCCAAGACGCTGAACGGATGAACCACCTCCTTGCGGACGTGATTCCAACCCAGGTGGCTATCTTTGCCATGTTTTTTTTTAAACTTAGAAACCAATTTTTAAGCTCTCAGTTTGGTTCCATCAACTCAATTCTTTTGTATGCCTCTTCTTGTTGTTGTCTTCTTATTATTACTAATTTAATTGTTTATCCTATGTAATGTTGCTACAATCTGCGGTCACAACAATAAATAGGTACATTGATCAAATTGGAGTCCTGAGAAAGTTCTCTGGCCATTTCACACAAAGGCTGCCGTGGTGGCCGTGGCCAAGATAACATACCCATTTCTCAGAAGGTAAATAGGTAAGGTTGCTCCCATCATCCTCTCTGGATTCCCAAGATGCTCTCTATCACCTCAATTTACCTTGGTCTTTTGGGGGTGGGGCTGGGGACAGGAAGGCACACTTCTGAACAAAGCACCCATTATTTTTACTTCATATAAATATACCGCCTAAACCGATTATAAGAACTGAACCTAAAGCTTATGCAGAACCATTTGATGTCGAAATGGCTTTGTTGATCTAAAACTGAAGAAACAGAGCCTTTCTACCCCAAATTAACAATACTGTTTCTGCTAGGCAGGCTAAGAGCTGAGCTTTGATTCCACCCACAGGATGAAAAAAATGGCAGAGAGGTTACAAAGAAGGGAAGAAGCACAGTGCAAAAGATCTACTTCTCAATAAAGCCGTTCTATCAAAAAATGAAATCGCTCCATTAACAAGAGCTAAATTATTTAAAAGGCCTCCTCCATCATTTTTTTTGCTAAAGGTCTATTGATTGAAAATGACATTACAAAATTATAGCTAAGAAAGAAAGATTCTCTTGCTCCCTCTATCAGACACAACTTCTATAGAGACATCTTTGACTGCTATTTCCACAACACACAAACATACACATTATCTATATCCTCAAATTTCTAGGGACTATGAAAATACAGTGGGCATTAGGGATTTTACCATAGTTATCTTAAAATCATTACTGGAGATCTGTTCTGTGGAAAAATCAGTATTCTAACGTCACTAAAGAAAAGAAGGTGTGAGTATCAAACTAATACTCATTCCTTGTTTTCAACCTAACACATTTCAACCTGGATACTGAATTAACCCTTTTTCTGGTTTGGTGCACAGAACCATAAAATAGCCACACCGGCTGAATTTACATGCGATCTTAAACTTCCCCAACACACAAGTAAAAGAAGGTTAAACGTAACCAACCTTGGCATGCTGTTGGAATGCAGCCTCTAGGTTTAGAGCTGGTTAGCTTAATGTGAATACAACCACAGTCACAAACTTTGCCACAACGTTTTTGCCCTCGAGAGCCCAGTAAGGCAGAGTCAATTGTGAGATCTATATAATGGCCCCAAAATCACTCAAAGACATTCCTGGATAGTTGGGGAACCTGTTAAGCATCCATTCTTAATCCAAGACCACAGCCGTTTTACCACATCCTCTTGTTGTCTGTTGATCTAATTCAGCTTCCCATAAATAAACCTTTTTCTTATGTATATATTTGGGACTACAATGATTTCCACATTTAAAACTGTTACTCGATATTTTTTGAAAATGTTGGTCTATAGAGTCTGGATTATATAGGCAGCCTAGGAGGAATTAAGTTCCTGAGTTGGGAGAATAAAATGCATCACATTTCCTGGCCAAGCAGGATTTGAACCCATAACTTTCCAGTCCCCTTTACTAAATCATATCAAGCCTCAGATTCCACCATGCTGACCAAGAAGTACATTACTAAGATTGCCACTTTTATATATATTTTTGCAAAAACGGAGCCACTGGCCATAATAATTCTCAGCATCAAGAGCCAGAAGGTAACATCTGTGGGTGATATTGAACTGATCAGCATGCTAAACCATTACAATACCAGTTTACAGTCTAATTTTGCAAATATTTCACAGGATGGAATTACATTTTTTTGGCAATTTGGAATGCCAATAAGACACCCAAGAGAGAAGCCCTTTCAAAGCTATGAGAGCCTGAAGAAATTGGAGGAAGCGAGAGGAACTGACTAGTTCTGTAGCTTGAAGTTTAATGTGTGGTTGAGAACTTCCCTCAACATCCATTCCTGTATTTCTCTGAATGTTGTGGCACCATTGCAAACTTACCATTAAAAACAGCTATTTGAGATCCAGTACATTCAGAAATGTGCATTCTGAAAGGTTTACAAAACACCAATTCATATTTTTAGGTGGCTTTTTCATTTTAATTTGTGGATTGACAAGGAAATGGACTGGATGGATTAACTG